CTGGAAAGCTGCTGGAAAGCTGCTGGAAAGCTGCTGGAAAAGTCTTGGAAAGCTACTGGAAAGCTGCTGGAAAGCTGCTGGAAAGCTGCTGAAAAAGCAGCTGGAAAGCTGCTGGAAAGCTGCTGGAAAGCAGCTGGAAAGCTGCTGGAAAGTTGCTGGAAAGCAGCTGGAAAGCTGCTGGAAAGTTGCTGGAAAGCAGCTGGAAAGCTGCTGGAAAGCTGCTGAAAAGCTGCTGGAAAGCTTCTGGAAAACTGCTGGAAAGCAGCTGAAAAGCAGCTGGAAAGCTGATGATTCTGAGTAACAGACTGTTTTGCTGCACCAGCTATAATTCGATCATCTGCAGCGTTTTAATTCCTCCTTGTTTGGTCAGAAATGTTGAAGGTTTGCTGCACTTTCCTGGAAGTTTTTTCCGTGTAATTCCTTCGCTTTCAGAGGCTCCTGACAGCAAACCTGAGCGCCGTTATTTACTGTGCTGATTGACAGGATGTGTGTTTAGGTGAAAAGCTGAGCTGTATCTAGAATGAACCGTCTACCTGCAGACGTGCAGAGTTCCTCCATCAACACCTCTGCTTCTTCCACAGATCATTGATGGATTCACAGGGTTTTGGGAATCAATATTAAATTATTAACAACCTTTATTGTAATTGATGGATTGATGTTTTTACCCGACCTAAAAACAACCCAGACTGAACAAATAAAGTAAAAAATAAAGTTTAATGACCAAAGTCATTAGTCGGGTGACTTCCAGGTTTTTTTTTTCTGTGTTGTTTTGTTACTAAATAGATAAACACAAAATAAATTTAAATCAAAAGCAAATTAAATATTATAAATATTTCCAGAAGTGACTCTGAGCCTAATATTAACTAAAACTCTTCATATAATATTTAATATCAGCGTCCTTCTGTTAGCTAGCTTAGCTTAATACCATGTGACTCCCAGACACTGGTTGCTATGGTGATTCCCTCCTTTCCTGTCAAAGGAGGGAATCCTCTGGGGCGTTGAAATGAAGGCACAGCCAGTGGTTGCTATGGCAACTCCTTCCTTTACCATGCAGAAAGAGTTCCTCCCGGAGTCGACCTGTAGGAACCATCAAACTGGAACAAAAACATTCCTGAGATTCTGTTCTACTATCAGTAAATATATGACAGAATAAAAATATAAATGTAGAAAAGAAAAACCGTGGCGTTGCAGGTGGGCCACCATGATGCGGCACGGTGACATCACAGGGTTGGATGGTTCTGTGGCTTCCAGGTGAACAACCCGCCATGCAGAGCGTGGTGCAGATCAGCCTCCATCACTGTGGCCATGAGCACCCAGGTAGCCTCAGCAGCCCAGAACCATCCAACCCTGTGATGTCACCGCTTAGAGTACGCCATCATGGTGGCGCCCTGCCAAAATATGATACCCCGCCTGGGTCAGCAAACGGCATTCTTAGAAACCTTAATCTTTAACTCGGGTTTAAAGATCTCAGACACTCAGACAATCTTAACTTCTCCTTCCTTTAGCTTCCTGCTGTTTCCAGCTGGTTGCAGCCAGGTTTCTGTTAGCCCCAGTCTCTGCACGCCAGGGTCAAAGTTCAGCTCTGATGACCGTGAACAGCTGCTGTTACACACATGGCCCTGCGTGATTCACATTAGAAAGAAATGATGCAGGTCTTCCTCTGCCCTGTTTTACTGACCTTTCTTCATGTCTGATTGGCAGCTCCAGGCTCCGCCCCCAAAGACCTGACCGTCATCAGTCGGGAAGGACGTCCCCGTGCTGTTCTCATCAGCTGGCAGCCGCCGCTGGAAGCTAACGGACGGATCACAGGTGCGCAGCCTCCTCTTCCTGGAAGCACAGCTGATGATCACATCCTCCATGTTTTTCCTCTCATTGTTGCTAAATAAGGAGGAAAAGAACCAGCCTGGTTTCTGGCTCTCCAAACATGCATAAAGTAGTTTCCTCCATTGTTCCTGTTCTCTTTCTGAGGGAGAAGAAAGTGTTTGTTTTTAACGAGCTGTGCTGCTCCTGCTGCGTCCCGCAGGACCAGTCCACGTGCAGCACAGCGAACGCCAGGCGCCTGCTGATCGCCCACTTTTAATTAAAGCTGCTAATGCGAAGGCCTGTTTGTCTCCCAGGATACATCCTGTTCTACACGCTGGACAAGAACTCGCTGATAGACGACTGGGTGATGGAGGCCATCAGCGGCGACCGGCTCACCCACCAGGTGGCGGATCTGAACCTGGACACCGTTTATTACTTCAGGATTCAGGCCAAAAACGGCAAAGGGGTGGGGCCTCTGTCTGAGCCGGTGCAGTTCAGGACGGCTAAAGGTAGATGAGGCTACGGCTGCAGCGCCGCCTGCGCAGATCTCATTCTGGTTCTCATTTCCTGTCCTTCTGCTGCCTTTTCAGTGGAGCTTCCAGACAAGATGGCCAACGATCAAGGTGAGGTTCCTTCCTCCCTCAGACGCTTCGTTAACATAATGATGAATTTAAATCAGATTCTGAGACCTTCATGTTTAATGGAAGACAGAGTTTCTAATCATCCTCAATCAGTTCATCCGTTTCCTTTATCGTTTTTATTCATTAGATGGAAACAGAGCAATTCAAACTTTAATAAATTTACACAAAAGTTTTTCTGTTTGGCCTTTTTTTAAAGAGAGCAAATGTTTCACATCACTAATCAGCTGAATACTAGCGTTAGCATCTTACCTCTGGCTCTATGGCCGATTCTCTGTCTGTGTACTTGTGCGTCCTCGTGTCCTCGTGAAACACCATCACCCTCAGCCCTAGCACTGTTCCAGTTCACTAGAACAGCAGACTGAGAACGGACAAAGTCCCCGGATGTTGTTCTGGCCCCTCCCTCTTTACCCAGCATGCACTGCGGCAGCAGCAGCTTCCAGGAGTATTAAGTTAAAAGTTCTCTTTTCTGTTGCTGTTGTTCATTAAAAATACGTTTTAAGATCATTTGAGTCGAGAATATTATACTTTTGAATTCATCCGTTAACATCTGGATGTTTGGCTCTGAATTCATCCGTTAACATCTGGATCTTT